TCAACACTAAAATCACCACTTTGAAATCGTCGAAACCATTCTCTGCAAGATTTATCCGACGGTGCAGATTCACCATAAACTTCCACAAGCATTCGATGCGCTTCAGCTGCACTTTTCTTCCAATTGAAACAGAAAATCAAAACTTCCCGCAAATGGTGCTTATTTGGAACGAAACTCGACATTTTCAACGCAGTAAAAATTAAACTTGTGCAAAACTCAAAGGCTTGTAAACAATATTTGGTTGACAGATGTTGACACTTCACGATACAGCAAAAATCAGCTGTCGCCGTCAACCATTTATAGCACCTAGAGCCATCTTTTGAAAACGGACCGAACTAAGTTGTACACCCAATATATAGAAAGTAGCAATAAGTTTTCGTATGAACAGAAAACTTCAAAGAATAAATTACAATCGACATTTACTAATTTTCTCTGAATAATGACCTAAGTAGCACTTACAAGTGCTGCTATGCTAGCAAACGTTTGGAGGATTCGTGTGCCCTTACGTATTTGAACTCGTAGCTCCGTTAATATTGTGAATATCAAAAAATTTTTTACAAAGATATTCTATACACATGTGGAAATAAAAATCAACAAAAAAATCGATTTTTTTGAAGTCGTTAAAGATTAAATGCTCTAAAAAACAATCATGATATAGGTATATTTTTTTTAGGATTAAAATTTTCATTTTGTACATTCAAAGTTTTCAATTAACGAGATTGTCCCAATCGTTCTGAATCGAATCTTGTACAAAGATAATGAAATCTTGTTATACACCGAGTTTCAAAACAATTTGGACACATTTTTTACACATTTCGAAACGCAGTCGATAGTCCAATAAGAGAAATTTTTTTTAAATTAATATTCAGAAGTTATGTTTTCTCATTGGATCATTGGTTGTATTCCAAACTGCCTAAAAAGTGTTTTAACTATTTTTAATACAAGACTGATCGCTTACCTAGCAGCTTGAGCAGCCTTCCACTTAGCATTCAATGCGGCGGTATCTAGTGTAGGGAGCTTCGGTTCCGGATGAATTAGTTGGGACTCTTGTTCAAATATGTCTGTTAAAGGTTTCCTCTGGATTTCTGTAATTAATTGTAACGATACTTCGTCATATTGTTATATTTAATATAAACAACACGCACACTCTTTGATACACGTTTCTTACGTACCTTTCCTTTGTTGCGCAGTCATCGGTACTCTAGGTTCTCTCTCGTGATACGCCTTCGAAGCTTCGTCTCTCTCCCTCTCCCTCTCTCTGCGCAGCTCTTCCTCTCTGCGCGAACTCTCAGCGAGCTTCTCCGCGTTGCTAAGAGGGGAAGGTATGTCATTATACTGTGCTACATACCTAGCAAATATAAAAACATAAGTAGAATATGATATCTGATGGCCGCGTGATTTCCGTTCATTTGCGATAGCTGAAGACGTTAAAATAGTACGATGAAAATAGATAATTAATACAACAACACGAAATTAAGTTAAATTTGGATACTGCAAAAATATAATATATTTATAGAAAAAGAAAAGTGAAAAAACCTGAACTCATTATTAGAAAATTTCAGTAAAGATTCCAACCTTTTTAGCGCCGCACAGTCTTTCTCAACTTTCGCATAATAAGCATTAAGTTTGGATTCTAATTGTTCCAAGTCCGGTAAAGATGACTTTTTCAGTGCTTCTAAATCTCGTTCAAGCTTGTCCTTGTTTTTACGTTTTTTACGCTCTTCCTTCTTCTTCTTTTTTCGACTCTTCTTATCCTCTTTTTCCTTATCCTTTCCTTTCTTCTCCTTTTTCTTCTTCTTTTTTAATTTTTCGCTTTCGGAGTGTTTCTTTTCCTTCTCTCTTTCTCTCTTCCATCTTGCTGTCTCTTCCAAAAATTTTCTTACCTATTCATACAAAATAATTTTTGTTATCATTTTAATTTTTACATTGCATACCTTGAAATGTAATTACTAAAAAACTTTAACTTATCATACTTAATATCGTAACATAACTTGCCTTATCTTCATAATCAGAATCATCCTTGGTTTGTTCAAGAAACTTGCGTACTTTGATTTCATAGTCATCCATTTTCTCACGGGTGTTGGTGGTATAAGAAGCTGGTGCAATTGTATCATGAGTGGTAGTAGCCGCAGCTGGAGGATTGTTATATTGTGCCATTCGCTTACTAAGCGGAGAAAGCGAACTGCGGTGATCTTTCTTATGCTTTCGTTTGCGACTAGGCGAACGAGAAACGGATCGTGAGCTTCCAGACGACGATGAGCTGCTTGAATCTGAACTCGAAGAGCTTGAGGATCCGCTGGATGAAGAACTTGAGCTGGAACTCCATCTTTGTCTTTTTTTTGATCTAGATTTTCTTTCCTTCTTGCGCTTCTTCTTATCTTTTTTATTTTCCACAACGTCGTTTTCGGCTTCAAAATTTTTAAAAGTATCGAGAGGATTCAACGATGCTGTGAGAGTTTTAGATTTTACATATTCGATAGAATTTCGTGCTTCTTCATGATATGGAGCAATCGCCAAACAATTCTCATATGCTTTCTGAGCATCCTCGTACTTCTTCTCATCTTCATAACTGCGACCGAGCGCAACGAGCGTTTCTGCCATATACTTACGAGCATTTATATGTGTTTGATTTAATTTTAGCGCGGTCTCAAAATCGTCGATCGCCTTCTTGAAACTTCCACTATTTGCATATCTATAACAGTACAACAGAAAATAAAACCTTGAATACATTTGTTTACGCATAGATTTACATACTGTATACAGGGTGTCTGACGTGAGATATATAAAACTAAATTAGAAGATGTTAACCTAAGGACTCCTGACATTTTGCTAACTACATAAAATTTCGAGATATTAATAAAAAAAGATTGACAAACTAGAGCGTACGATGTTGTAGAACAAGCTCTATTAGTGTGAGATTTCATTGAAAATAAAATCCGATTATTTTTAACGACATATGCGCGTGACACACTCGCGATATGTAAAAAACAATTGTGTTTCCGCCCTTGCATCCTTACTTCGTTTTTAGCTGTCATCCGATATTCACTCATGCTAAGTGATAATCGAGCCTTTCGTGCTCGAGCTGATGTGTTTTACCTTTACACATGTAATTTTGTATATCGCGTCAGATACCTTGTGTACACACACACACATACAAACGCGCGTACACACACATTGTATATATGTATATATTTGTTTGATTTTTTGTGTGTGTGTGTGTGTGTGTGTGTGTGTGTGTGTGTGTCAGGGGTTTCAATAGAAAACATACAATGCTCCTCGAGCGACTAAGCCCTCGACGTTACGAGGGTCAACAGTAAGTGCTTTGTTGAGGCACTGGAAAGCTTCAGAATGACGACCAGCCTTAAAATGATCTATACCCTCTGCGACACTTCGGAATGCCCATTTGCTCGCCTGTGTTTGTCTCAACTCAGAAGCATATTCGTTAGGTGGGAATCTTTCTCTACATATCAACAAAAATAATATTTAATAATTAAAAATCTTTATATTTATTTCTATTAACACAGTGTCTTTGAAAAAGATGATATTTTTAAAGAAGTAGGTGAAAGGAGGAAAAGGAAAAAAGAAGTAAAAATATTCGATCAAAATATAACGCATATTTAACTAGATAATATAAAATATCAAAAGCAGATATTTAACTAGATAAACGTTAAAAAATCTATCAAAGACATTCTCATATTTAAAATAGATGACATCTCAATTTTCGTAAATTTTGCAAGTATCAAAGATCACTTATATGTTTAAATAACGAGATATTTTTTCTCTATTGATCTAAGAAAATGATATCAAACACAATCTCAGCCATATGTTATGTCTTAAGCTGAGCGTTACAATATCTTTTATTTAATAATTTAATAAATACATTTAATAATTAATAAAAATGTGTAAAGAAATATTTTAAATAAATGATTTAAATAAATAAAAAATATTTTAAATATTTTTATTGAATGTATTTATGTAGGTAATATCTAAGAAACAATCAAGTGGTAGGTATGTACAAAATATCCTAACCAAATTATACCTACGTCAAAAAAATAAAGGTCATTGAAAATTTATTATGTAATTAAATACACATTTTCGAAACTATGTTGATATGATATTTTTTATCTGTAACTTCCCTTATCACCACCTTCAAGCCCATGATCATCTTTTTCAGAGACAACTTATATGTATTGAGATACAGTGAGACGTCTTACCTCAAGCCAACCATGTTAGAGTGATTCTCTTGTCCGAGGCCGATTAAGTCGCACAGATATTTTATGTTGTTTGGATTGTTGAAGCCTGTACTATTCTCCAACAGCGTTTCATAACTCTGTCCTTTGTTGTCCATTGCTTTCCTATATCACAGAGAAAAACCTAGTTATCGAATTTGTAAAGATCATCGTGACCTTTGTCAAAGAAGAGGAAACCAAAGCTACTTCGTTAACGGTAAAACCAAAGACTCAATAATCATGACAGCCGAATCCTTATAATCCTTTTCGGCATGTTGTATTGCTTATACGGTCGTACATGTGCGTCGCAGTCTCTCTGACATATCGTCGTGCCATGTGTTATTTTTTCATTTTTAATATGCGCTAACATGTTTTATATGCGCATTATTTGTCTCCTCATACACACATACAGTGATTTAATTATTCTTGCACAATGATTCTCATTCCTCACTTCGATCTGCATGTATTATTCGGAGATACGATACTAATGCCAAAAGTGCTTTCATGTCATTTCCGATCTTCCTCGATCGCATCAGAAAATATAAGACTGTTGCACAACTTTTGGTATTAGAGTCGTTCATAATCTACGTTTGTACCGTTAAGAAGCAGCAGGGGTCCGAAACAGGGATACGGTGTTGGAGGTTCATAAGATTTTTTTATTACCAGATAATTTTCTTAGTTATAAATTGATATTGGTACACAACCTCAGTATTATGTAAACTCGTCTCTCACCTTTCACGTACCGCTAAGACGTATATTTCTAGTATTTTGCATATCACATTTGTAATCAGAGATTTTATCTCAACACAAAAGCACACGGCCTATCATCGATCGATGGTGGTTTCGGTTTTATAAGTTTTTTTGGTGCGATAAAATAAATTGCATAGCTCTAGGATAGGTTGGGAGCCACGTCTGAGTATATTTTATCTTCCACACAAGTTGACCAAAAAAATTTTTTTTAGATGTACACTTTCGCCTGTTTGCATTTTGTGATGTCAATTTGTTATCAACATGACATCACTTTTTTTATTTGTCAATACAAGCTGTAAGTTCAAATGAGAGGCATTATTACGACGAGGCGCGATTCTTTTGAGGCTTAAAGGTAAAAGGTTTCTGGGTGATTAAGATTTTAGTTGTTTGGTCTCTGCTTAAAATATTACAAGTTTCCATACAAACTGATAATCTTCACCTTACCTTCACAAAGAAAACACGATTGCACGAAAATACAAATATCTCTGGCCACAAAACGATTTGCAAAAAAAATTTATTAGTGTACATTTCAAAGGAGCACAGTCGAAACACACATATAAATATATATAAATATATATTGATTTGATACCCTAAGAGACCAAACAACTTTAAATCAGTGTTATACCTACCGTACGCTGCACTCACTCTGATTGTTCAAAGGCTCAATGTCTCATACTGGAAATTCAACCTCAAAAGACATTGAAGTCATTTTCGCCATAGTTTGGCTGGTGCTTTGAGAGTAACATATCGCAAACGTAGATATAATATGTGCGCAATAGAGCCATGTCAACCAATACTCAAGGTTTGAATCATTTGTATCACATTAGAAATTCATCATCATACTGACTATTCAACTTTTATGTTACATAGAGTGTCTGGTACCTAAATTCATAAAAATGTGTAAGAAGAATCAAATCTAATTTTACCTAATTTTGTTAGTATCACAGTGCTTCTGTTAAAATTCGTTTTTGTCTTCCCACCATGCTATATCCTTACCTTCATTTTATGTAATGAAAGGGTCGATGAAATTATGAAAATTGCGCGCACGCACGCACACACACATCTACATATGTATATACACATACACCATTTACATGTATACATATACATATATACCATTTACATATATATATTTATATGTATATACATATAAATAGTTTCACAATATGTGGAACTTACTACAAAGATGGATTTAGAAGTTAAAAATTGAAAAAAAAAGAAAAAATAGTTGACATAAATATATACATCCGAAATCACTTCTACTTTAAGTTGAAACTATCTTTGTCTCGTCTGAGCCATAGTCTATAGAAAGTCTATAATATAATTTAATTTAATTTAATTTAATTTAATTTTGAATATGTTTGAAGTTAATATAAAATATAAAATGTTGTCATATATTATTTTTATTATGTACTATTGGTTTTTGTTACTAAAATTTGTGATTTTGAATTTACTCTAATAATGGAAACTTATTTAAATTGAAAATTGGTAGACATAATCTATAATGAACACACTTGCTAATTACAATTTAGCAATAAAGCTAAAACAAAATGCTTATGTATAGAAAAATTTCCTACTGTCTGTCAAATAAAAAAACAGATTTACGTCTTAAAATTATTGATTAATTTAAGTAATGAATTTCAAATAATTTTTACTTAACAATGTTGAAATATTCCAACAACGTATTGAATAAGGTTGTCAAAGAGGATCCGATAAACTATTAGAATTTGTGAAGAAGTGGGAAGAATCTATATTAAAACGGTGTTCGACTTATATAGGGAAACAAGGAAATCATCATATTGAGTATTTTCTTTAAATATAAATAAATTGTGTTGCTGGAATATAAAAATAACTGTAACTAGAAAAGCGCGCGATTTCAGATATACATTTATATAAACTTTATTATTACTAGATTTTATGTGCGTGTCTGAGCGTGAATCCATCCCTGTGCAATGCATTTCACATATTTACTATATATACAGGGTGTCCCAGTTTAAAAATCACATCTAAATAGCGAGTAAAATAAGAATTGTACAAAAAATACTTTAAATAAATGTCGGACTTGTGGAGAGAGGTAAAAAACAATGTGGGATTGACTCTTAAAATTGCGATCAATTTTAATTTTTTAAATAAAAACAGTTTATTGATAAAATGAGAATTTCACTCTTCTTCTATTGATAAAAGCACCGAAATAAAAAAAAAAGAATAAATTTTATCTGGATATTTTTTATTCTTGATGATAATAATTTAATACATATATATTTAAAATGATAAGGGAAATAGATTGATGTAAAAGCATATAATTTTTTAGTCATTCAACTATATAAAAATATTAAAATAAAATAATCAGAAACTATTTACTTTTTAATAATATTTAGTACTTTTATAGAAAGAATGATGAGTAGAAAATTAATCTATGTTAATAAAAAAGAACTATTAAGAACAAACTAAAGTTAATCTTAAAAATTTCAACGTCACAATAATATATCATATATACTTTCAGAATTGAACAATTTTTGTCTGAAACATTTTTTAATATCCTAAACACCTGATATATATACAAGATGTCCCGCCATTACCGTATTATCTTTTAAGGACGGATTTTCTGTAATTTGAAGAAAAAAATTCTAATGCAAAAATGTCGAGGTTATAATATTTTTCAAATTATAAACGATTAAAGTTGACCAATTATGCTATAGGCTAAAGTACGCGCGCTCAACGCACAATAGTACAGGTGCATGCCCATAAGTGAGAATTTGCATAAGATATGAAATTAGTTGTAAATCTTTGAAAGAAACGTGTGACAGCTTATTGATTCTCATAAATATATTGTGTGATATTTTATTCATAATATTTTTACGAAATTGTTATTATTTGCGATGTTTATTTAAATGTTAGAAAAGGTAGATTATTATTACATATGTTGTTGTATGTACGGAACTTCCGTATTAATATTTGAAAAAGGGACGACATATGCATGCACCTGTATCATTGGGTATTGTACCATACCTGAGCGCGCGTACTTTAGCCAGTATAATTGGTCAACTTTAATCGTTTATAATTCGTTTATAATCAGAACAATCTACGAAGCTCTCGTAAGAACGTAGAGCGGGTTAAAGTAAATATGAAAGTCCTATACCGTTTTGCGAGATATTCATAATAATAACAGAGAAATTAATTACGAAAGATTAAGGAGAAGCGTATGCTGAATAGTAAAAGACGGACCGTTCGAGTCACAGCGCAGGCCAGTAATATAGCGCGCGGATGTCGACCCGTGGCAATTGGAAGACAAGTGCCTATATCTATACTGCTACATTTCTACGTATTGCTACACCACCGAGGCGACACACGCACACGCACGCACGCACATACGCACGCACGCACGCACGCACACACACACACACACACACACACACACAGAGGATGTTCCACCTAACTTGACCATCTTAAATATCTCGCTTATGTTTTATAATAGGAGTATGCCAAAGGGGGGCATTATTCAGTTCGAGGAGACAAATACTGTAAAAAATATGAAATTTTTCTTGTTTTTCTATCTTTTTCTTCTATCATATCGAGATGATAAAAATATGTAGTCTCAAAAATCGCGATGATAAAAATATGTAGTCTTAAAAAATAATAATAAACTTGAAATCCTAAAAAATGACTTTGAGAAAAATTTTTTGTTTTTTACATTATTTGTCTCCTCGAACTGAATAATGTCCTCTTTTGGAATCCTCCTATCATAAAACATAAGCGAGATATTTAAGATGGTCAAGATAGATGGGACACCTTGTGTATATATATAATATATATAATATACAGGATGTCTTAGACCTCCATGATCACACTTTGTAAGAATGTAGAACGGATTGAGGTGAGCAAGAAAGTCCTGTGCCATTTTGCGATATTTGCAATAGTTTTCGAGAAAATAATTGATTTGTCTCAGCTAATCAGCGCATAGGAAGCGGCAGCGGAAAGAAACCCGAGTAGGAATTTAAAAGAGGGCTTGTAAAGGCCCTAGATAGTTTTTCCCCATTTCTGTCTAGGCGTCATTCAGGCAAGCCCGAATAGACCCTGTACAGAGATGTAACGCTTTTGTAAGTCAGGGCCTGATTTGTAAATCTGAGAGGCTCTATTCTGGCATGCCTATGTAGGCGCTATCTGGACACGCCTAAGTAGAAAAAAATATTCTTTTATGTATGAATATGTACTACTATTTTTTTTCTAATAAAAACTATTCGTAAAGGTCACAGCGCTTGCTAATTTTATTTGAAAACTTTAGATTACTTGATTCCAATGCTACATTACATTTAAAAATTCTCACTGACACTGGTGGGACTTGAACCTGGACCCTGTTTGAGGCACCTCTGGATTAT